GCGGTTTGAGAAATGGGGTGAAAGCATAGGGGGGGGTATAGGGTATGAGGTGTGGGGTTAGCCTCTGCTTGCTGTATTACCAGTAGTACTACTATTGTGACGACTATTATTATGGTTACCATTATTACGATTATTACTATCATTACTATTACAACTGTCATTACTATTATTCTTATATATATTGCTCTTAATTGTTACTATTATGTCTATATGAGCCATTGTCTAAACTCCTAGTATCCCCCTTAATGACCCCTATAGTAGTCCCCTATATACTCCCCTATATAACCCCCCATTAAGGAGTTTAGACCCTAAACCCTAAACCCTATATGATCCCCTATATAACCTCCCATTAAGGAGTTTAGACTATAGCTCATATATTTTAATGCCACCAGAAGGGTAGGAGCACGTTGGGGCCTTGCCGTCAAACATGCTGAGGACCTCATCCTCCTGGAGGAGTTGCAATTAAGGTTTAGGATTTAGGGTAGGGTTTAGGGTTTAGGGTTCAGGGGGCCTTTAGATTTAAATGTGCCCTGCGTATGAAATATGGGCTATACAGGGGTTATGTAGGGGGTATTATAGGGATCTATACGGTTTAGGGTTTAGGGTTTCCCACAAATGGTATGGAATCTACCATTTGGGATCTAGGGCTTAGGGTCTGGGAGATTGGGCGCTTCGGGATTGATGGTGACAGGCTTTAGGATTTGGTAGGGGTCTCCTCCATGCCACCGACGCAGACTTCGCACACGCACGGGACTTTTCATCGCACACTCCGAGCTCGCTGCTAAATTGGGTCTTTCTCAACATAAGGGTTCAGGGGAGGGATTGCTGTGATTTAGGAAGTGTTTCGCGAGTCAAGGTATCCTGAGGGCCTTCAGGGACATGTAGGGATCATGGAGGAGTTATAGTCCCCCTTAAGTAGATAGAATATGGCTTCGGGTAAAACATAATAAGATCGCCATATACTCCATATTCTATCTACTCAAAAGGGGACTAGAAGGGGATCCCTCTTCAGGCCTATGGAGGATTATAGCGAGCAAATGTGGAGACTGGAATCTCTTCCCCAAAGCCGCCCCAGCCCTCAATATCAGCAGTAGTTTGCCCACCTAAAAGGGGGAGGGGGGTTCATAGAAAGAGTTGGGAGCCCAACCAGTACGACAACCCTAAACCCTACCCTAAGCCCAAAAAAATTTTGAGAAATCCCTAAGTCGGGTCTAACTCCTGCCAGTCCTGCTTGTTTCACAAGCAGCTGACAAATTCCAGCCCACTCGCTTTGCGAGGAGCCTCTACATTGCTGCCCTCAAATTTGATAGGCCTAGGGCTTAGGGTTTTGGCGTTAGGCTTTAGGGTGCAGTTTCATAGGAAATATACATCTATCTGAACTATAAGCTCAAACCCCGATCTTACTGGTGGTTAGTGAGGAATAAGGGAATATAATCACGGGATACTATATATATATCCCCTTGTTCTCTACGAAGCCCAGTAAGCAATTGTCTCGGAAGCTACTACTTTATAACCCCAATGTACTAGAGTAGTTGCCACTGTCTTTTCCATTATCCCTCTATCATCGAATGTAGTATAGTAGTTTCCATTCTCTTGTCCATTATCCCAATATAACACCAACCCTAAACCCTAAACCCTATACTCTAGCGTGATGCCGGCCCTGCCACTCAGAGATCACCGGACTTCTTCGTCAGTAGAAGCTTGGCTGCGGCATTGGCACCTGAAAGCTCGGCGAAAAGGCTCGGTTTAGGGTTTAGGGTTTGGGGTTTAGGGTTTAGGGTTTAGGGTTTGGGGTTTAGGGTGTAGGGTTTGGGGTTTGGGGTTTGGGGTTTAGGGTTTGGGCCTGTAGGGTATGTGTGGGATATGACAGATTTCCAAAAAAGCGGGACAGCAATGTAGGCCCTCAAGATGCTATGTTCCTTATCTTAAGGTCCCCCAAAAAGGTACCCGCAATTCTAGAAACATCCAGATAGAGTATAGTCTAAACTGCTAGTCTCCTCCTTACCAACCCCGATAATAGTCCCCTATACCCTAAAAACTTCCAATATGACATCCTTTAAAGAGTTTAGACCCTAAACCCTAAACCCTAGCACTAAATCCTAAACCCTACACCCGCTCATATAGGGTATAGGGTGTAGGATGTAGGGTGCGGGGGTTCAGGCTCAGAGCCTTGCTGCAGCTTCAAGCACAGAGCTCATTGTTGTTTTGACCATAAAATGCCATTTCAGGCGGCAGCGTCTGGAAGGTAAGAACTGTACTCCGCTGCAGCCCGCCTGCTTTGAGGGGGTGCTTCCATATAAAATCGCGGGTCAGGTCCAGTTGAAAGTCTAGGTAGCGACTTTTCGGGATGTCGCACCTTCGTCTCGAGAGCTCTACCTCTGACATGCCTTCGCCCAGCCATTCGGCTGTCCTGGCACAAAAGGACTCTGCAGGTATGCTGAACGAATCTCTGTTCTGGGCTGCGGGCCGCGGGTCTGGGAGGAGGGTGAAGTGATCCGGCTCTTCTGAAATCTCTGCGCGCTGCATCTTGCCCGACTCCATGTAGACAGGCTCACGCTCCATCTTCCAGACCTGTCCAAGAAGTGACATGTCGGACGTCGAGCTTTTGTTTAAACGGACTGTCAGGCCTGCAGATGATATTGCATGGCGGCATTGGCATGTTTCCGCCAGAGCTGCACTCGTAATTCTTCCTTGACACCTCGCTTGTACCAGTCTCGGCGGGGCTGTTTTCTGCTATCTGTTAATGGCATCTAGACACGGCCAGTGTGGATCGTCATTGCGCAGCCGCGAATCTCGCCCACACGACGGCACGACATATCAGTGGAGTCCTGCGTAGCCAGAGAGCGATTCATTTTCTCCTTTTATTCTCTTGTTGTCTCTCTTTCTCTTTAAAGTGTTTATTCAGAGGCGCTCCACGACGAACCGCCAGAAGTCCATGATGGCAGGATACCTGATCTCAGAGCGACCGAATTGCGAGTGAACTCTGGATTAAATGGCTGAGGTGGTGACCGGTGGCGAGACGCAGGTTACTGCCCAACAAGCTGTTGTCAACTTGAGCGCGACAAAGTTGCTGCGAAACAGGCAAGTGCGTGGATACTCTTCTGCTATACTCGCCCTGGAACAAGGTCGCCTGGGCCGAGTGAACTTCTTACAAGACCTTTGTATATAGTATAATATTTGCAGATCCCTTTTGAAGAGGCTTTGGACTGAGCTTCACATCTAGGCAGACCATTTGTTTTTAAGCAGGACAACTCTTCTTCTTTGCGTTTGACAGTGTTTGAGACTTGCATTCGGTGCATGTCATCAATGCAGGTGAAACCTGGAATTCTGGTAAGATGCTTCAGCGGCTCAGCTTCACTTCCCGCTTCCCGCACGAGAGACCTGCAACAAAAAGAAGTTACTTTTTCAGGGAGTTATCTGTGCATCTTTTTCTATGCTGATTGGGCCTCATTGCATTGCTGTTGGCGCGGATGGCGGAATTTTGTCCATGTTACGGGACCTGGTTGGATGTGGTAGCGGAACGGCCGCACGGGTTTGACATCGCACACGTGCCACAATGCTTTGAACCGGGCTGCGGCGTCAGTTCTGTATGTCAGCCTGTGTGTGGTAGGTGAATCCGGCTTCTGCTTGGTGAGTTGCTGAAGACTGTCTTGTTTTGGTGTCTCCAATAAAGTCAAGAACTTGAAAGTAAACGGCCGAGGCTGAACTCGAGTGTTGCAGACGAACCTCCGGGGGCGGGCTGTAAAAGGACTGATTTCACTCACAGATGTGCTTGTGACTGCAAGTGGGGCGCCTTCCTCCATCGCGCTCTTTTTCATGCTTTGAATACAACTGCGAACTTGAGTTCTTCATATCCACCTGCGAAGATCAATGCCTGCTCATTGGCAAAGCACTTAACTTCACAGGTGGTGCAAAAGAAGTTGACGACGCTTGTGGCCGACAAGAAGTGGGGATTCATTCGCATCAACGCGTCCTGAATCCCGGACACCTCATGCTCCCTGAGAGTGTCCTGCAAAAGATGCTGTGAAACGGGGATGTCGGTAGTTACAAAGGCTGACCAGGCATCCCATTCGTCTAGGTCCTCATTGGCATGCAACTTGTAGACGTGAAACTTGTTCCGGACCTTGTTGTTGTGGTCCGGGTGAAACAAAACTGGCAGCTTCATTTTGCAGAGCAGCCTGGATTTGTCCGCGAGGAGCTTCATCTCAGACATATTTGAAGTTTTTCGTCGAGTTGAGGGAACCAAATAGTCGGGGCCCAGGCGATCTGTTTTTCGGTGCTGGCCTTTCTCTTCGCGGTCGGAGCTGTGGACACCTGAGTATCAACTTCATGCTTGAAGCTATCAGAAACGATTACACTGAGTCTGTGACTGTTCGCCTTTGCAGCGCGTATTGTAGACCCGCCTCAGAACTGGTTGTGGATTGACGGCTCACCCTTGTGTATACTGAGGTCGCGACCGGGCTTGGGTTCTTCACCGCCGCTTTCAGCAGGTGTGACAACTTTGCCGAGTCTTTCGCAGGAAGGATTCAAGACTTCTGAGGATCGTTGAGTGGGTGGCCAAATGCTTCTCTGCACGCATTGCCGTCTTTCCCTGGCTCTTGGAAACCTGGAGGTGTAAAACAGGAACTTCTGTCACTTCAAGAACTCTCAAGTCATCGGCCTTTGGAGCCATGATGTGTTGGGAGGAGACGATGAGCGGCTGCAGCTAAGCTTGAACCAAATAGTAAGGCTCCATGCACAGAAGTGGCTGCTCTTCTTTCTGCTTACAGCAACGCCGGACCCTTCGCTTTTGTTTATAGCGGTCGCTCAGGTCGGGTAGTGCGGAGCCAGCAGCGCCGCCGGCAACTAGCCTGGGTTCACATGCGCACGGCGATTATTCAATTGAATGCTAATATCTTATTTGCTGACCGGTCACAGTCCCAGACCTCCTCGTCTTCAGTCAATGCGCCGTTTTCCTGGGTCAGGATTTGCTGCAGGAGACTTGACTGTTCTTAGCCCTTAGTCATGCCAAGCAGCCGGGTCAGGCTCCGCCTCCGGTTCATAGGCCACGCTTGCCTCCCTGCGTTGCCGAACCTTGGAAAGAAAGAGAAGAAGATAAGCTATGTTTTGTTTCGCTTGCAGGGAAGAGACGGCTTTTAGTGGCAGGGGCGCACAGGCAAGGTGCGACGGAATGCCTTGTTGAGGCAAACAAAAGAGGAAAGCAACTCGAAGCGAATTGAAACTAATGAAGGCGAGGTGCCTTCGCACCATTGATAGACCCAGGAGCCCTCCTCTTCGTCGTACCAGATATCGTCTGTCAATGCTGAAGAGACGCCAAACTTTGTTGGCTCCCTGCGCCAAATGGTTTCCACATGATATCTTTTTAAATTTCCCATCCCCCCCACCTGCCTCCAGCCACTGGTACCTCAACTGGCCGTTGAGGAAGAGCTTTTTCCCGGTCTGGACTG